GTAGAGCAGAATTCAGTGCTCAAATTTAGGTCACACATTCAGTGAAATCTGAGAAAAAGCGTGAGACCAAGGCTGCATAGAGTAGCCATTATTATTGTTGGGACAGAACTGGGGTTTTCAGCAGGATGTCAGAACCTACACTGGGCCGAGAACACGCTTTCAGAACGGACTGCAGTTTGGCGTCCAGCAGCAGGTGAATGGCCAGGTGCGCGTCTGACTGCGGGCCGTGTTAACGTGACTGGTTTTAAGAAGTGTACTGATCTGTTACTCCATTTGAATTCAAAGAATAGACCAATCAGTGCGTCACTGGACCATGAAGCACCATCATCAGTTGTTCAGGTGTTTTTGGCGAACTCTCGTCACAGTTCTTCTGTTTGAAGGTACCCCGCTCATGATGTTCAGGGGGTCCCTCACTCTGACCCTAAACAGGGATGACGGCAGCTTCACACGGATAACTCCCTCCTCTCACAATGGTATGGGATGTGCATTTGTAGAGCAGAATTCAGTGCTCAAATTTAGGTCACACATTCAGTGAAATCTGAGAAAAAGCGTGAGACCAAGGCTGCATCCAAAATCGCATACTTTCCCAGTATATAGTAGGCAAATAACAGTATGCAAACAGAGTAATATGTCCAAATTCACAGTATTTATAAAACAATAGGCAAAAAGTGCTGGGATGACCTACTATTTCCAACAAGATTCTGAAGTGTACATCCAATGGACACTTTACTGTCCCACGAGGCCACGGGACAGGAAGGATTTGTGGATGGCAGTGAAACTGAAGCTGGTATGGTCGCATGACAGTGACAACATAGCACATGTAGTACATTTGGATTACATTCATACTATATGGAACATACATTTTTGAATGGTTGTGGAGTAATTATTAAAAAAAAAAGTACCTATCGGAGAGTATGCGATTTCGGATGCAGTCCAAGTTGTAAACTTGGTTAGATTTATGTGGAAGTACTTCCTCTGTTTTAAAAACTGCCAACTATTTAGTGGGAGAATATCTACCTGACAAGCAAACAAAAACAATCAAACCGTTCTTCAGTAGCAGCACCTCTCCAGCTGTAGCAGTAAATACACTTTCTTAGGGTAACATGCCAAGTAAAACACTCAGAAAAATTTAAACTTCTGACTTTTTAATAAATCACAAAATATATACTTATGGTCTGATCTGATCTTCGAACTCTCCCTCTTCTCTATCAGGTGCTGTCGGTTGAAGCGTGTGGGCTGTAGGCTGCGCTAGTGATGGGTGTGTGATGGGCTTATGAGACAGAACCAGGCTATGGAGTGCAGTTCTGTAGGCTGCACAATGATCTATTGTCAGCAATGCTGGACAGACCTGGACATGACCAGTGTGGAGAGCAAGGCAGCGGCTCTGAATCTAATGTGTACTATGGCTGCTGATGAACTTGCATTCATTTTACAGCCCCAAACTGCACGAATTTCTGATATTTTAATTGAAGAAACGATTTTTGATGGAAAATGCCTTGTATGGATTATTGTATATTGTCTTTGCTAAGTATACACAAATGGGTAAAAATCAAGCTTTTACCCAGAAATGATTTGTCGCGTGTTCATCTCGCTAACCTTTATTTATTTTTTAAAAGAAAGAAACAAGTCGTCTTCAAACCTTTTCAACTTTTTTTATTATATACTTTTTTGATAGATAAACTTGTAATTAAGTCTTAAATAATCACATTAGCTTCACGATTTCTGTTTAACTTGCAATTAAACTTTCGCAGCTAATTGTTTGAAAACGCAAAATGTATATGTTGTATAGGCTACAATGAATACATATTCTTACATATTTTCAGACCTTCCCAATCCAGTTTTGACGTCCTTTAGGTAGCAGGCCTACATCCCCTTCCCCTGCTTTAAATGTTATAATTAATGCCTAGTAGGCTACGCCCTCTAGGATCTTTCTTTATTATTCCAGCTGTTGAAGAACCAACGCGTATATTCATTCTGGCAAGGATTTGAACCCGGCCGGACAGCAAAGAGTTAACTCGAAAGAGGAAATCCTATCTGGTTGGACGCACTGAGAAATGCGATTATACTGCCTCAGTTTAACACTGGCGAGCGGACGGATTGCGCACTATGCGATCCGCCTCATAGAGAAAGCTTATTCTACAAGGTTATCTTTACGGGCGATTCCTCTGTATCGCAAAACGAAACGAGCGCAATAGAGTAGCCATTATTATTGTTGGGAGAGAACTGGGGTTTTCAGCAGGATGTCAGAACCTACACTGGGCCGAGAACACGCTTTCAGAACGGACTGCAGTTTGGCGTCCAGCAGCAGGTGAATGGCCAGGTGCGCGTCTGACTGCGGGCCGTGTTAACGTGACTGGTTTTAAGAAGTGTACTGATCTGCTACTCCATTTGAATTCAAAGAATAGACCAAGCAGTGCGTCACTGGACCATGAAGCACCATCATCAGTTGTTCAGGTGTTTTTGGCGAACTCTCGTCACTGTTCTTCTGTTTGAAGGCACCCCGCTCATGATGTTCAGGGGGTCCCTCACTCTGACCCTAAACAGGGATGACGGCAGCTTCACACGGATAACTCCCTCCTCTCACAATGGTATGGGATACTCTGCTTTAAATATTGCATTTGAGTAATTGTTGCATCAAAGTAGTTAGGGATACTTATACATTTGCTTCTAAAGCATCCGTTTTGTGTGTACAACAGTCCAACAAGAAGAAAGAAACATTCTTTATTGGCTTCTATGGTTCCTTGAAAAACATTTTTAAAACATCCATGGAACCTTTTCATTGCACAAAAGGTTCATTAGATAATTACTTCTTGTAGATGTAGATGAAATATACATTTTATGGGTATTAAACCAATTGTTTTTTTGTTATTTGTTCTATTGCTTTTGTATTGGAGCTGTTTAACCCATCATAGTCTGCTGTCTTGCTCGGAACAGCTCAGCTATTTTAGTTAGTCTAGATAAGTCACAGGTTCTGTTCTTTAATAGTTTGCTTAGCAGACTGTCCTTTACCCATCTAATCACAGGCTCAGTGTTTATAAACTGCTCAAAGAGTATAATGTAGGACTGCTCATTCTTGAACATAATTGCTCTTCGATCTGGGCTGCTGGAGAGGAAACATATTCTATAAAAGCTATTGCATTCTGAAAACTTGCTGATTCCCTTCAGGATTATCAGTTCTGACTTGTTTCCAAGTAAATTAAACAGTTTGTTGAGAATCCTAGAGCTATAATGTCATCTCTCTAAGTTTTGTCATGTTTGGCTGGTAGTTCAAGCTATTTATTTGAGCCAAACTGACCAGATTCTTCTGATCCAGTTTAGAGGCCCTTCAAACCAGTGCTGTGCATTCATGCTCCAGCTGTCAGTCACAGACAAAACAACAGCTGCCCTCACAACACAGCAAGCCTTTATAGTGGTTATTACTTACCGTGTGTTCCTGTTGGGTGTATGAGTGTGCATTTGAGTAAAACCGTTCTAATACTCTAAGATGAACTTGCATTATTACAGAAAAACTCTCAAAATATCATCAACACAACTTTAACTCTTTGTTATTGATAGGTTAATACTAAATTAAAGTAGTGGAATCTTAATAGATGGAGATGGAATTTCTGTCTGTGTTAGTTTCATCTTATTTGACATGCAGGGAGATGTTTTGTAATATTAGCCAAAGAAATAACAAGTGATTACCCAAGTATTTGGGTTGCACTTACAAAACTTTTCTCAGTTGAACAGATTAATCCTCCTTTCATTCTGACCCACATTCTGAAATAAATTCCACAAAGGTTTTGTAGGACTTGGTAACATAAGCTATCAATAAAATCAAAGTTTCATATATATAAAAAAAAAAGACCTATTTACATGTTATGATTCATATTTACATGTTATGACCTTTCACTGCTGTGTATATATATATATATATATATATATATATATATATATATATATATATATATATATATATATATATATATATATATA